GCGGCCTTCATCATCATCATCATCCTCATCTTCATCCTCATTGCCATCCTCATCCTCAGCTTTATCCTCATCCTCATCCTCAGCTTCATCCTCAGCTTCATCTTCCTTATCTCCCTTGGCTTTGTCTTTATCTCTGTCCTCATGTCCTTGGTGTGGCGCCCTCAGCTGGCAGGAGCTGGTGTGCACATTCTATTGGTGAGCGGCCTTCATCCTCATCATCATCATCCTCAGCTTCATCCTCATCTTCATTGCCATCCTCATCCTCAGCTTCATCTTCCTCTTCCTTATCTCCCTTGGCTTTGTCTTTATCTTTGTCCTCATGTCCATGCTGTGGCGCCCTCAGCTGGCAGGAGCTGGTGTGCACATTCTACTGGTGAGCAGCCTTCATCCTCATCATCCTCATTGCCATCCTCATTGCCATCCTCATCCTCAGCTTCATCCTCAGCTTCAGCTTCACCTTCATCTTCCTTATCTCCCTTGGCTTTGCCTTTATCTCTGTCCTCATGTCCATGCTGTGGCGCCCTCAGCTGGCAGGAGCTGGTGTGCACCTTCTACTGGTGAGCGGCCTTCATCTTCATCATCATCCTCATCATCCTCATCTTCATCTTCATCCTCATCTTCATCCTTATCTTCTTCTTCCTTATCTTCCCTATGTTCCTTGGTTTTGTCTCCACCTTCATCTTCATCTTCTTCCTCTTTATCTTCCTTATCTTACATGGCTTTGTCCTCCATCTTTGTGTTCTTCATCTTCATCTTCATCTTCATCCTTGTCTTCATTTTTATCTTCTCATCATCTTCATCCTCATCTTCATCTTCATCTTTGTCTTGGTCTTCATTTCCATGTTCCTCATCTTCATCTTCATCATTGTCTTCTTCATCTTCATCCTCATCTTCTTCTTCTTCTTCCTTATCTCCCTTGGTTTTGTCTCCATCTTCATCTTCATCTTCATCCTCATCCTCAGCTTCATCTTCATCCTCATCCTGAAATCCTCCCGTCCCCCACCAAACTGACCATTGCCAGAGTGACCACTCTGGACAAACTGACCCCTCTGGACAAAGTGACCACTGCCAAACTGACCACTCCTCACCAAAGTGACCGCTGCCAAAGTGACCAGTCTGAAAGTGACCACTGCCAAAGTGACCACTCCCCTCAAAGTGACCACTCCAATGTGACCGATCCCCTCTCAAAGTGACCCCTGCCA